TACTCAGCAACGGCTGCGTATAGTTAATAAGATTTTATTGTCTAGTAGCGAATGTCATTTCGTTGTTACCCAGTAATGGGTATACTAGCTATAATATTTTCTTCATACTCATCTCTCTTTATACATCCAAACCTTCTGTTTATCTTCTTTTTTAATTTAGGCTAATCTGATATGTCCCTTGAGACTTATCAAAATTTTATTTGCACTATTTTACTAGTAATTTTGTTCTCCGTAGCCAAGCTACGATGTAGGTGCAGAAGCTCTGCCAGTACTTCCTTATTCACGCTGAGCATATCACAGCCTTCTGCTACCTTGAAATAAATGTTTCAGAAAATTAGGTACTTTCAGTCAGCCAAACGGTTTCCATTAGAGGAAGTACTTTTTTGCTGATTATACCGCATGTGCAGTTAAAATACTGGGATGATTTCTAACGGACTTAACGGTTTCTAGTGGATTTAGTCATGGTTAGGCATACTGTTAGAGGCACGCGGTAGCGTAGTTGGTTGAGGCACTATGCTACAAGCCGGAAGGTCGTGGGTTCAAGTCCCGATGAGGTCACTGAATTTTTTCAATTGACCTAATCTTTTCAGCCGCATTATGACTCAGCCTCTAACGGAAATAAGTACCAGGAATTAGTTAAATAATTTTCCTGGGGAGTAAAGCGCGGCCGGCGCGTAAGGCTGACAACCTTACCGCCATCTTTGAGCCAATTGTATAGATAATGTGGGACCCTCAACGTCTCACAACTCTCTGGGCCTTCATGACCTGGTACAGGAATAGCTTTATTATTATTTTTTAGGCATACTGTTGCTTTAATGATCGAAGAAATCTGAACTTTATCACTTACGAATCTCTCGTAATCCGTTAAGCCTACACGAGTTTCTCTTCTCTGCTGATCATTTAATTGCGAACATTGCCTCTTCATCACCTTCCTGTCCAAATTCTTCGTTATACCTCCATTGTTAACGTTTCCACGATGAGTTTCAATCTGTTAAGCTATTAAAAATTCAATTTTCATTTAAAATACTGACGTCTCTTTTATCATTGCATTTCCTGTTTGTAGGAACAAATTCAACATTGGCAAAAAGCAATCAATAGCAGTATCATCGGCAAATTAGGTGTGGAATTACTGAATTCATAAAGACGGAGCCATGACTGTGTAGTTAATAACTACCGAATGCCACAACCAATGTTACTCTAATTCACATTACTTCATGTTTAAATTTCTTGTTGTGTTGGCAGTCGCTGATAATTGAGGAGCTAATTAAATGGAAAAGTAGCGGCTCCGGTCAAGAAAACCGAAATTAACGGCCGTGGGGATTCGTTGCGCTGACCAAGCGACACCCTCTATCCACTGAAGTTGGCAATAACTTCGCCGACAAGCGGCGGTCGCTCGGTCGGTATAGTTCGCTTGCGGACTCAAGCCACGAAGTTTTTTTTTTGTTTGTTGGCAGTTGCTTATTGCAGAACAGCGAATCTACTTTAAGCCAATTAATCGATGATTATGTTATTATATAAACTGTAAACGCAGAAATGTGTGTCACTTACTGCATTGCCTTCCAAAGCTCAGTTCTTGAGAGATACAGAAGATCACGCGGTGATGTAGGGGGCGGGGGAGTGATTGGAAACGGAAGTGAGACACCTTACTCTAAATTAATTAATCCCATTTCCGTTTAAAATTATTGTACACTACAAAGGAACCAAAATACTCGCCTGCGACAATTATGTGTGTTTTTTACGTTTGCAGCATCAGGATAAATTAATTGAACACGATTTTTAAGGCATGCAGAATTAGTAACAATAATTGTTGAAGCTTCAGGTTTATTGTTTGAGAAAAGGAAGTTTATAGCAATGTTTCGGAATCATTTGCATCTTAAGTCCCACTGGTTATTTTATTAACAAGAACAAAGTACAGTCACGCCGTAATGAAGTTAAATTTTCTTTCATTTCATATTTTTTTAATATATATACATTTTATTATTATGGTACTCATTAATGGAAGTTCTTAAATCTACGGAAATAATGCAATATTAAACTGGTAAAAATGTGAAAGAAGAAAAACAGGGGGGCGGAAAAACTGTAGGGTATTGAGTGGCACCATATTTAATGGGGGGGGGGGGGC